GTGTTTTTTATTTTCATTTTGGATGATCTGTCCATTGGTGAAAGTGGGGTGTTAAATTCCCCTAGTATTATTGTGTAACTGTCGATTTCCCCTTTTATGGCTGTTATCATTTGCCTTATGTATTGAGGTGCTCCTATGTTGTGTGCATAAATATTTTCAATTGTTATATCTTCTTCTTGGATTGACCCCTTGATCATTATGTAGTGTCCTTCTTTGTCTCTTGTAATAGTCTTTATTTTAAAGTCTATTTTGTCTGATATGAGAATTGCTACTCCAGCTTTCTTTTGATTTCCATTTGAATGCGGTATCTTTTTCCACCCTCTCACTTTCAGTCTGTATGTGTCTCTAAGTCTGAGGTGGGTCTCTTGTAGACAGCACATATACGGGTCTTGTTTTTGTATCCATATAGCCAGTCTATGTTTTATGGTTGGAGCATCTAATCCACTTACATTTAAGGTAATTATCAATATGTATGTTCCTATTACCATTTTCTTAATTGTATTGGGTTTGTTATGGTACGTCTTTTCCTTCTCTTGTGTTTCCTGCCTGGAGAAGTTCCTTTAGCATTTGTTGTAAAGCTGGTTTGGTGGTGCTGAATTCTCTTAGCTTTTGTTAGTCTGTAAAGGTTTTAATTCTTCTGTCGAATCTGAATGAGATCCTTGCTGGGTAGAGTAATCTTGGTTGTAGGTTTTTCCTTTTCATCACTTTAAATATGTCCTGCCACTTCCTTCTGGCTTGCAGAGTTTCTGCTGAGAGATCAGTTGTTAACCTTATGGGGATTCCCTTGTATGTTATTTGTTGCCTTTCCCTTGCTGGTTTTTTTTGTTTGTTTGTTTGTTTGTTTTCTAATTTTGCGGTACGTGGGCCTCTCACTGTTGTGGCCTCTCCCGTTGCGGAGCACAGGCCCCAGACGCGCAGGCCCAGCGGCCATGGCTCACGGGCCCAGCCGCTCCGCGGCATGTGGGATCTTCCCGGACCGGGGCACGAACCCGTATCCCCTGCATTGGCAGGCGGACTCTCAACCACTGCGCCACCAGGGAAGCCCTCCCTTGCTGTTTTTAATATTTTTTCTTTGTATTTAATTTTTGATATTTTGATTAATATGTGTCTTGGCGTGTTTCTCCTTGGATTTATCCTGTATAGGACTCTCTGTGCTTCCTAGACTTGATTGACTATTTCCTCTCCCATATTAGGGAAGTTTTCAACTATAATCTCTTCAAATATTTTCTCAGACCCTTTCTTTTTCTCTTCTTCTGGCACCTCTATAATTTGAATGTTGGTGTGTTTAATGTTGTCCCAGAGGTCTCTGAGACTATCCTAAACTCTTTTCATTCTTTTTTCTTTATTCTGCTCTGTGGTAGTTATTTCCACTATTTTATCTTCTAGGTCACTTATCTGTTCTTCTGCCTCAGTTATTCTGCTATTGATTCCTTCTAGAGAATTTTTAATTTCATTTATTGTGTTGTTCATTATTGTTTGCTCTTTAGTTCTTCTAGATCCTTGTTAAACGTTTCTTGTATTTTCTCCATTCTATTTCCAAGATTTTGGATCTTTACTATCATTACTCTGAATTCTTTTTCAGGTAGACTGCCTATTTCCTCTTCACTTGTTTGGCCTGGTGGTTTTTTACCTTGCTCCTTCATCTACTGTGTATTTCTCTGTCCTCTCATTTTGCTTAACTTACTGTGTTTGGGGTCTACTTTTCACAGGCTGCAGGTTCGTAGTTCCCATTGTTTTTGTTGTCTCCCCCCAGTGGGTAAGGTTGGTTCTGTGGGTTGTGTAGGCCTTCTGGTGGAGGGGACTGGTGCCTGTGTTCTGGTGGATGAGGCTGGATCTTGTCCTTATGGTGGGCAGGACCATGCCCGGTGGTGTGTTTTGGGGTGTGTGTGAACTTATTATGATTTTAGGCAGCCTCTCTGCTAATGGGTGGGGTTGTGTTCCTGTCTTGCTAGTTGTTTGGCATGGGGTGTCCAGCACTGGAGCTTGCTGGTTGTTGAGTGGAGCTGGGTCTTAGCATTGAGATGGAGATCTCTGGGAGTGCTTTTGCCGACTGAGAGCTCTATTACGTGGGGCTGGGAGGTCTCTGGTGGTCCAATGTCCTGAACTTGGCTCTCCCACCTCAGAGGCTCAGGCCTGACACCCAGCTAGAGCACCAAGACCCTGACAGCCACACAGCTTTTAGGAAGTCTAGGTCTTCTGCCAGTGTTGAGTAGGTGTACTGTAGGAGTTGTTCCACATGTAGATGTATTTTTGATGTATTTGTGGGGAGGAAGGTGATCTCCACGTATTACTCCTCCACCATCTTGAAGGTCCTCTTGGCATGCTTTTGAGGTTCATTAGTTGTAAAATGTATCAGTAGTTTGCTTCTTTTTATTATAGAATAGTATTCCATTGTATGGTTGTACCACATTGTGCTTATCTATTCACTCATTGATCAACATTTGGATTGTTCCCAGTTTTCGGCTATTACGAATAATGCTGCTATTTAACATTTATACACACAACTTTGTGTGGAATTGGTGGGTCATATGATACAGATGTGTTTAACTCTAAGAAACTGCTAAACTGTTTTTCCAAAGTGATTGTAACATTTTAAATACCCATGAAGCAATGTATGACAGTTCCAATTTCTCCACATCATCACCAACACTTGGTGTTATTAGTCTTTCCAATACAGTTCTTCTAGTGGTTGTGCAATAGTATATCATTGTAGTTTTAATTTGCATTTCCCTGATGGCTACTGATATTGAGCATCTTTTAATGTGCTCTTTAGCCACTGACACACCTTTTGGTGAAGGTATTTAAATTGGGTTGTCTTTTTATTATGTCATATGTAAGAGTTCTTTTATGTAGCCTAGATATAAGACCTTTATCATATATATAATTTGCAAGTACTTTCAGTCCTTTTTATTTGTCTTCATTTTTTATGGTGTCACTTAAAAAGCAAAAGTTTTAAATTTTGTAGTATATTTAAAAATTTGGTGTCTTATTTAAGAAATCTTTACTTAACCCAAGGTCACAAATATTTTCTCCTATGTTTTATTCTAGAAGATGTATGATTTTAGGTTTTACATTTAGGTCTGTGATACATTCTGAGTTAATTTTTTGTATGGTGTGAGGCAAGGATCACATTAATTTTTTACATATGAATATCCAACTGTTTCAGCACCATCTGTTGAAAAGACTATCCTTTCCCCCATTGGATTGCTTTGGTAACTTTCTTTTTTTTTTTTTTTTTTTTTGCGGTACGTGGGCTTCTCACTGTTGTGGCCTCTCCCGTTGAGGAGCACAGGCTCCAGACGTGCAGGCTCAGCGGCCATGGCTCATGGGCCCAGCCGCTCCGCGGCATGTGGGATCCTCCCAGACCGGGGCACGAACCCATGTCCCCTGCATCAGCAGGCGGACTCTCAACCACTGCGCCACCAGGGAAGCCCCCTTTGGTAACTTTCTTAAAAGTCAACAGATCATAAATATAAGGACTAAATTCTGGACTTCCTTTTTTTTTTTCATCTTAAAAACATGGAATGTGCACTTTCCCAGGCTTCAAGATTTAAAGTCATATCGGCAGCTCCCCAGCACTGGGCAGCAGGAAGCTTATCCTGCCTACTGATGAAGCAACAAAAGTTTCAGGCTTCCTAACTGACATTTACAGGGTGCCTTCAAGTAGTGAGTGTCGTGTGAGGATCTAGAAAGCATGATGAACAAAACAAACACAAAACCAGAGACAGAAAGAAATCGACTATGAGAAAATGGCACTATCTTGTAGCTAAGGCTCTAGAGCCCACAAGCCACAACTACTGAGCCCACGTGCCACAGCTACTGAAGCCCGCATGCCTAGAGCCTGTGCTCTGCAACAAGAGAAGCCACGACAATGAGAAGCCCGCGCACTGCAATGAAGAGTAGCCCCCGCTTGCCACAACTAGAGAAAGCCCACGCACAGCAACAAAGACCCAACACAGCCAAAAAATAAATAAATAAATTTATTTTTTTTAAAAAAAGAGTATTTCTCAAGTGCAGGGAGGATTCTTTATATGAAGTGTATGTGCGTACAGTCTGCAAGTTAGGAAAGTTTCTTAAACGCTATGCTTTATTTCTCCATTTGTAAACTGCAGCTACTAATAGGGTTATTAAAAATTACATGGGTTAATACATATTAAGTGCTTAGAAGATGATCTGGGACATAATGATTGCTCGAATAAATAACAGCTATTATTATTAAGCATGCACTTCCATGTACATGATGGTGAGCTTTCTACTGAGAAACTTGGCTTAAAACAGCAGCATAAGGGAAATAGTTATGAGACATTGGAATAGATAGTCAAAGAAACTGACAACGCTGCTCTAAATCTACTTTAAAAAAAACAAAATAAGTAAGGCCTTCTGTGGTGGCGCAGTGGTTAAGAATCCGCCTGCCAATGCAGGGGACACGGGTTCGAGCCCTGGCTCGGGAAGATCCCACAGGCCACAGAGCAACTAAGCCCGTGCACCACAACTACTGAGCCTGCCCTCTAGAGCCCGTGAGCCACAACCACTGAGCCCTTGTGCCACAAGTACTGAGGCCCACGCGCCTAGAGCCCATGCTCCGCAACAAGAGAAGCTACCCCAATGAGAAGTCCACGCACCACAATGAAGAGTAGTCCCTGCTTGCTGCAACCAGAGAAAGCCTGCGCGCAGCAACAAAGACCCAACGTAGCCAAAAATAAATAAATTATATATACATATATTACTTTAAAAAAAAAGAAAACAAGAAAGATCCCTCTCTGTCTGAGGGAAGGATGGAATAAATGCTTTTTTAAGTGAAAAAAGTAATATGTATTCATTGTAAAATGAACAAGCAAACAAATCAAACACTACAAAGATGTAGAAACTCCCAGTACTCTTACCCAATTTGGCATTTACCATTTAAGACTTTTTCCCATTTATATATTATGCATTTTCCCACCTGTGTGGTTTTTTTTTTTTTTAACAAAAATGGGATCATACCATCCAAAAAAAAAAAAACAAACATGGAATGCTTCATAAATTTGTGTGTCACCCTTGCACGGGGCCATGCTAATCTCTGTATAGTTCCAATTTTTGTATATGTGCTGCTGAAGTGAGCACTGGACTTTCTATTCTGTTATATCTGCTAACTTTAAACTATGGCTATCCCCAGTCATGTTGGACTTTTATGTCAAGAGACCAGCAGGCAAGGAAAGGAGTCACTATCCTAGTGGCATATAACTGATCCTGCTCATGAGGAGGAGATAGGGCTGCTTTTACACCAGGAGGGCTATTATGGGCTGAATTTTTGTGTCCCACCAAAATTCATATGCTGAATCCCTTAGAGTCTATTACCTAGGAAACCCAAACAATGACCACTATGTTTTTAACAATAGGACCATATCACAGAGCTTCAGAAGCAGGTTGTCTGATTTTCAAGAGAGCCACCATTTCAGCCAAGAATTTATTCCATTTCAAGAAGAACACAGCTGTGGAGGTAGAAAGAAGACAGCATTTCACTCACACACACACACAAGAATGTGGCATTGCATGGAGAAAAGGCATTGTGCATTTTCCACTTTGAGGGGGCTAGGTGTGAGTATCAGGTTTCAGAATAATGCAGGAAGCCAAGAATTTGTACAAACTAATAGTACAACAAAAGGCAACTGTGGGATTGTGGTTGGTTTAGAAGTAGTGCTCACAACTGTGGAGCAAACAAAACTACCCAAGTTGACCCAAGAAGAGCATGGTGTGGTGAATTCTAAGACGTGACGGACACTGCAAAGTTAGGATTCTAATGTGTCTAAAATTTGCTCTGTATAGTTCTAGAATGTCAATTAATTATTGAAGACTACTTCTCAAACTTTAACATCCATATAAATCGCCTGAGAATTTTGTGAAAATGCAGATTACAGTTCAGTAAATCTGGAATGGGACTGGAGATTCTGCAGTTCTAACAAGATCTCAAGTGATGTTGCTGGTGTTAGATCACACTTTGAGTAGCAAGTACCTAGGATATTCTGGTAGAATTAGTCTGGCACTGGGGTTGATTCATTCATTTGCCTAATTGATATCTGTATCCTTGTTTGAGCAAGAATTTTGAGACAGCTAAAATATTCAGATGTACATAGTAATCCCTAGAGCAACCACTAGAAAAATAAGGCAAAGAACTACAGCTAAAAAGCCAATACATAAATTAAAATGGAATTAATTCTAAGAATTATTCAATTAACCTAAGAGACTGGAGGAAAATAGGAACAGATGAACAAAAAGTAGATGTGATAAATAGAAAACAACAACAAATAGTAAACTAAACCCAACTATTCAGTGATTACATTAAATAGAAATGGATCAAACTTACTAATTAAAATACAGAGACTGTCAGACTGGGTAAAAAAGCAAGTCTCAACTGTATTCTGTCTAAAAGAAGCATTTAAAAAATAAAGACACATACAGGTTGAAGGTAAAAGGATGGAAAAATATATCAAGCAAACAGCTGGAGAGTTATAGTATCAGATAAAGTAGATTTGAAGACAAAGCATATTACCAGAATAAAGAGGGACATTTCATAAGGATAAGGTGTCAAATAATCAGGAAGACATAAAATCATGAATGTATATTCACCTAGTAACCAAGGCTCAAAATAATATGAATGAAAAACAGACATATTTAAAGGGAGAAATAGAGCCACGGTCAGAATTGGAGATTTTCATATCCTTTTCTCAGTAATTGATAGAACTAGACAAAAAAAAGTCAAAAATTAATTTGCTATGGACCATAGACCTAAACATAAAAGCTGAAAGAAACTATAAAGCTTTTATTATAAAACATAGAAAAACATCTTTGTGATTGGGGGGTAGGCAAAATTTTCTTAGAGAGGATATGGAAAGTAATAACCAAAAAAATGTTTTAATGATAGAGTTCATCAAAATTTAAAACATCTGCTCAGCAGAAGACACAATTAAGAAAATGAACATGCAAGGCACAAACTGGTAGAATATTCACAGTACACATATCTGACAAAGGACTTGTATCTAAAATATATAAGAACTTCCTACAACTCAATATTTTTTAAAAAAACAACAGAAAACTATAATAACGGACAAAATGTTTCAACAGATAATTCACAAAGAAAGATACAGGAATGATCAATGATCACATGAAAAAGTGCTCAAGGTTACTTGTTATCAGGAAAATGATGCAGATGAAAACCACAATGAGATACAACTACACATCACCAGAGTGGGTAAAATTTTAGACTGACAACACCAAACGCTGGCAAGAATGTGATATGAGAACTCTTGTGTTGTTTTTTTTTTTGCGATACCCGGGCCTCTCACCGTTGTGGCCTCTCCCGTTGCAGAGCACAGGCTCCTGACGCGCAGGCTCAGCGGCCATGGCTCACGGGCCCAGCCGCTCTGCGGCATGTGGGATCTTCCTGGACCGGGGCATGAACCCGTGTCCCCTGCATCGGCAGGTGGACTCTCAACCACTGCACCACCAGGGAAGCCCTATTGTGCTTTTTTTTTTTTTAAATTAGGGTATAATTGCTTTACAATAGTGTGTTAGTTTCTGCTTTATAACAAAGTGAATCAGTTATACATATACATATGTTCCCATATCTCTTCCCTCTTGCGTCTCCCTCCCTCCCACCCTCCTATCCCACCCCTCCAGGCGGTCACAAAGCACCGAGCTGATCTCCCTGTGCTATGCGGCTGCTTCCCACTAGCTATCTACCTTACGTTTGGTAGTGTATATATGTCCATGCCTCTCTCTCGTGAAAAAGAATTTTCTAATACTCTAGAGCTCTGCAAATATGGAGTAGGTCGTTTGGGAATGTAGTGGGCTCTTCATCATTAGAGGAAATCAAGCTGAAACTGAAAAGCCATGCATCACTGTGGTGCAGAAAAAGATCTACAATGGGAGACAGAGTTGGACTAGATTATTTGGGGAAGCATAATCATGATACAATTCTGTGTAACATACCTAGAAGCTTAGCCAAAATGTTCAAGGACTATTAATGTCCACTGATTCCTGTGTGGACATTCACCAAGAGGGAATGATAACAAAAAAATAAAATAACATAACATGAAATAGATGTTGTTTAAGAGTACAAACTTGTGACAAGTAGTAAATAACCCAGTGATCTAATGCACAGTTCAGTGAATATAGACAGCAATATTGTACCATAATTATGTAATAAATATCACAACAGCAATCATATTGCAATATGTAAATGTATCAAAGTAACACATTGTACACCTTAAATTTACATGTTTTATGTCAAATATATTCAAGACTGAAAAAAAAGAAAAAAGCACTGCTTTTAGTTATCTAAGAGAACTAGATTTCCAGAAGCTGTGACCCACTGTGGATTTTTGGAGACAGTCCTCTATCTTCATAAAACATCAGATTCAAACTATTAGGAACATATCAGCATTTCCAGATCACAAAATTACCTTGGAGACCTCCCCAAGGTATCTGTCCATGTCCAGTGTCCTTTTGTCCTTAAAAGCCCAGCTAGATTCTACATCACTTAAGAAGCATTTCACGACCCCTGTTCTATCAACATGCATGTCCTTTCGGATGTTCCGGCCTCTCCTGAATCCTTCTGCTTCCCCTCCCTGACAGGTTGTGTGCCCATTTAAGCCTGGGCCATGGGTCACCCCTGTTCCTCATGGGAATTCTCACACCCATATACTGGGTGATCAACAAAGTGTTTTGGTGGATGGATGGATGGATATTCAGACACAGACAAATAGATGGATGGAGGGATGGATGGATGGATGGAGGGAGGGATGGAGGGATGGAGGGATGGATGCACAAACGGACAAGACAGGTGGCTGGACAGACAGATGAATGGAAAGCCCTGGAGCTAGCATTGCTCATGAGAAAAGAGATCTTGGGAACAACAGGAGTATGTTTTCTGTGAAAATGATCTGGAGAAACAGAGTGAGTATTCACAACTAATGATTTCCCTAGTACCTAGCACAAAGTGGGAGAACACAGAGCAAACTTAAAGTCACTTTTCTGGCCAAGTTTAATGAGATGAACTGCCATATAGGACACAGAACCACTAAAATGAATATGTTATGTATCTTGTCTCTGATTGAATGCATTAAATAATCAGAATCTTCACTTTAAACATTGTAAATTTGATATTCTATGACCCCAAAGTAATTTCTAATTTTTTTTTTTTCTTTTTTTTTCTTGCGGTACGCGGGCCTCTCACTGTTGTGGCCTCTCCCGTTGCGGAGCACAGGCTGTGGATGCGCAGGCTCAGCGGCCATGGCTCACGGGCCCAGCCGCTCCGCGGCATGTGGGATCTTCCCGGCCCGGGGCATGAACCCGTGTCCCCTGCATCAGCAGGTGGACTCCCAGCCACTGTGCCACCAGGGAAGCCCGTAATTTCTAATTTTATTTCTCCTTTTTCTTGGAAACAAATAGAGACTGTGGACTTTCACAATGGTTTTTCAATCACTCAGCCAGACTGGAACTCCAGACCAGATGCCCTGGACCTACATGAGACAAAGGATGTTGAGTTTGGATCACTGAGTATTTTATTTAGTTGAAAGACGAGACAGACCATGGAAAGTGCCAACCAGACAGCCTCTGTGACAGAGTTCATTCTCCTGGGCCTCTCAGCCCACCCAAGGCTGGAGAAAACGTTCTTTGTGCTCATCCTGCTCATGTACCTGGTGACCCTGCTGGGCAACGGGGTCCTCATCCTGGTGACCATCCTGGACTCCTGCCTACACAAGCCCATGTACTTCTTCCTGAGGAACCTCTCCTTCCTGGACATCTGCTACACAGCCTCCTCAGTCCCCCTCATCCTTGACAACTTCCTGACCCACAGGAAAACCAACCCCTTCTCAGCATGTGCTGTGCAGATGTTCCTCTCCTTTGCCATGGGGGCCACGGAGTGTGTGCTTCTGGGCATGATGGCGTTTGATCGCCATATGGCCATCTGCAACCCCCCGAGGTACCCTGAGGTCATGAGCAAGGCTGCCTATGCACCCATGGCTGCCAGCTCCTGGGCAGCTGGAAGCACCACTGTCATGATGCAGACATCCCTAGCAATGCAACTACCCTTCTGTGGGGACAATGTCATCAACAACTTC